TGATGGCTGTTTGCAGGCTGGCCACAGCCCCATCAAGGTGGGGGTCCCCCCTGGGGTGCCTGGCCAGCCTGGTTGAGGGGCTGATGGCTGTTTTCAGGCTGGCCACAGCCCCTTCAGGGTGGGGGTCCCCACTGGGGTGCCTGGCCATCCTGGGTGAGGGGCTGAGGGCCGTTTGCAGGCTGGCCACAGCCCCTTCAGGTGGGGGGTCCTGCTGGGGTGCCTGGCCAGTCTGGGTGAGGGGCTGAGGGCCGTTTTCAGGCTGGCTAAGCCCCCCAGCGGGGACCCTCACCCAATGAGGGTGTGGCCAGCCTGGGTGAGGGCAGTTTGAAGGCTGGCCAAGCCCCCCAGCGGGGACCCTCACCCAATGAGGGTGTGGCCAGCCTGGGTGAGGGCAGTTTGAAGGCTGGCCAAGCCCCCCAGCGGGGACCCTCACCCAATGAGGGTGTGGCCAGCCTGGGTGAGGGCAGTTTGAAGGCTGGCCAAGCCCCCCAGCGGGGACCCTCACCCCATGAGTGTGTGGCCAGCCAGGTGAGAGGCTGATGGCTGTTTGCAGGCTGGCCACAACCCCCAGCTACCCAATCTCCCAGTGGAGGCTGGCTGGAAGCAGGTATCTGGGATTTATTTGTCTTCTATAATTGAAACTTTGTTGCCATGAGCGGAGGCCTCAGCCTGCTCAGGGCTGGCGGGAAGCTTGGCTTCCTCCATTGCCCGGGCAACCAAGCCTCCTGCTTGCTCCAGCTCAGTGGCTACCGGCCGTCATCTTGGTTGGGTTAATTTGCATATAGTCGCTCTGATTGGCTGGTGGGCGTGGCTTGGGCGTGGCAAAGGTACGGTCAATTAGCATCTTTGTCTTTTATTAGTGTAGATGACTGATACTCAATAAATACTTGATAAATGATCAACAAGTATTTGATAAGTGATATGTGAAAAGATTAAAGAGTAAATCTATAGGGAAATAAATTTTGGTTCAAAATATAAAACTAAAGAATGTAATTCATAGCATTTTCCCAAATCAGGATGGGTTGCTATGTCTCTGGAGGTATTAGAGGAAATGCTAGATGACCATGCAGGATGAACGAGATCAAGAGATTTGGATGAAATGACCTCTAAGTGTTAAAAGGTCCACCTCCTCCCCTATACAGTTTGGCTCAGTGGATAGAGCATCGGCCTGCAGACTGAAGGGTCCCAGGTTCGATTCCGGTCAAGGGCATGTACCTTGGTTGCGGGCACATCCCAAGTAGGGGGTGTGCAGGAGGCAGCTGATAGATATTTCTAACTCTCTATCCCTCTCCCTTCCTCTCTGTAAAAAAATCAACAAAATATATTTTTTAAAAAAAGGTCCACCTCTAATGTTCTGATGATCCCATGACATTGTTGGTCTGGATAATCCTTAACAAAAATTATTCCTGATCCATAGGACAGAAATGGCCTGTGGTACACTATCAATGTTGAAGATACAATACAACCACAATCCGCTCCCTTAGATAGTACAAACACTCTGAGCCTTTAAAACATTTAACCAAAAAAGAAATGAGCCTCATGTAAAGCAGCTCACTCTAACACTGGCCCGCTCCCCATGCCTGCTGCACTGTTAGGAGAAAACCAAAGGACAAAGGCTATGGGTTCTAGAGTCACACTGACCAGGTCAGGCCCTGCACTTTACCAGCTAAAGGACCACAGTCAAGTCGCCTTACCTCTTTAGGCCCCAGCATCTTACTTCTAAAACTGGGATAACATTAACTTCAAATTGCTGAAGTTTTGTTCCCCCTGGCTATTTTAAAGTAAGGCCTCTCTTGTGGCAGTGGAAGCCATCAAGAAACATTTCAAAGTCCAGGTAAATGAAAGCACTGCTCTCATTCCTACCTTGATAGTTTTTCACAGGAGTCATCTTGTTATAATCTTCTGATAAAATAAATTCCTACAAAAAAGAAGAAACATATTAAGCAAAAGGAAAATTTTTAAGTGAATAAGTATGTTTCGGTAAAACCAGATTGTATAAAGCAAACATCATCATAAAATTACATCTAATTCTATTTTGTATTTTAGTATTTTGCTAATCAACTCACTATTTTTGTACCTCTTTAAAGATGATGCTCATAACTGTGACTCAGTGCAATATCATAATTTTTACCTTATTACCTATGAAGTTGATCTTTTGAGTATGCATGTAAAGAAAACTGAATCAAGTTTAGAGTCATGATACTGATAAATTCTGAAGATAAACCTGATGCAAGTTATTTTTCTTTCAATAGTGCTATAGCTGAAAATTTGCAAGGCTGTGGCCAGTGTGCAAATAAATGTCAATCCTCTAACAGAGAAATAAATAGTTTAAAGATTTTATTTCTAATATCTATACTATTTCCCCTTATTATGAGCTTCTCAAGGCTGCATCTTACTCATCCCTGCATCACCAGGGCACCTGGCACAGAGCCTCAGCACAGTAGATAAGCAATAATACTGATTAAATGAATACATGAAAGGCATTTCCCAATTTGATGAGATTAATTTGAATGTCAAATTTACTCAAAGTAAATTTCTACAAGACACATATATACTCTTTGTGGGGGATACATAAAAGGGAGTGTGTGTTGCACCTATTCATTCACCTCATTTCGTCTCATCAGGTAGACATTTTGTCATCTCACGTTATCATGAGAAGAAGGGTGAGTACAGTACAATAAGAGATTTTGAGAACACATTCACACAATTTTCACTACAGTATAGTTAGAGTTGTTCTATTTTCTTATTAGTTATTAGTGTTAATCTCTTTTTGTGCCTAATTTATAAATTCAATTTTTTCATAGGTATGTATGCATAGGAAAAAATACAGTATACACAGGTTTGTACTATCAGCGGTTTCTGGCATTTACAGGGGGTTTTGCAGCATATGCTCTGCAGATAAGGAAGGAATACTGTGTTACAGAAACATTATTCATATGTTGATTTTCTCTTTAAATTAAGAGTGATTTAGAAAAAAATCTTATTTATAAGCAGTTATATTTATGGTTATCTTTTGTAGCTAATTTCTAGTGTTACTGGCTTATATTGAGAAAGCATTTTTATTTTTTTAAATGTAGTAAGATTGTATTCATGGTCAAGATATTAATGATTTTGAAAATGTTCTGTAGATATGAGAAAAGTGCTTTTTATCCAAAGTTCATGACCTATTTGTATATCTATTTAATGAAACTTGATGATACTTTTCAAATATTCGATATTTTTACTAATTTGTCTACTTGAATTTCAAATTCAGAAAGATATATAAAAAATGGGCTTTATTTTTAGTGTTTATTATTCTGATTATAAAAGTAATATGCTTATTGTCGAGAAACAAAAGCTATGAAACAATCAAGAAGGAAATTTAAATTGTCTATAACTCTACCAAATAGTGATAATTGCTGTTAATATATTGATTATTTTGCCTTTCAATTTTTCCCCTTGCAGACATTAAAACACGTTAAATTGCAATAGTGGTACTATTGATGTTGTTTGTAGCTCTCCATTTTAACTTAACATTATCACATGAATATTTTTGGTCATTAAACATTCTTTGAAAACATAAACTTAAGGGCTACATAATATTCCATTGGATGGCTATGTGAGATTTTGCCTAATTAGTCCCTGATTATTATATTTCTAAGACACCAGTTATTATAATCTGTGTTTCATTATTTTCTTTGAATGGTTTTCTAGAAATGGAATTATTGATATTAAAGGTACAACTACTTCTAAAGCTCTAGCTGCACATTACCAATAATTTTTCTAAATAGTTTGTGCGCCCGCTAATGTTTTGGCAAATCAAGATGTCAGTGCAGGAGTTGGCAGCCCAGTTCTCCATGACCCTGAAAGTGCAGGAGTACCTGACCCTCAAGGTGCTCTACGAAATACTGAACAAATGCTTTCGAGCTGCTTAGAAAAACATTGATGGTGAGACAAGCCATGTCACCATGGTGGTGGCTGAGTTGGAGCTGACCCTGAGCAGCTGCCCTAGCATGGACTTTGTGGTCAGCCTTCTGGATGGCGTGGTGGAGAAGCTCAGCATCCTGAAGAGGAAGGTGGTGGAGTCCATCCATGCCGAGAACAAGAGCGCCAAGCTGTGCAAATGCAAGATTGAGCACCTCAAGGAGCACAGCAGTGACCAGCCGGCAGCCACCAGCCTGTGGAAGCGGAAGCGCTTGGGCCGCCTGATGGTTGAAGCACCTGCTACACTCTCTTCGGTTACTACAACCGGGTGGTGAAGCTGGCGCGGCAGAGCAGAATGGAGGACTTGATGAACATCGAGATGTTTCTGAGGCCAAAGAAGTGGAGGAGTCTCTAGAGAGGCGCGAGACCGCCACTTGCCGGGCCTGATGCCACAAGTCCCGGCTGCTCAAGATGAAGAGTTGCCTGGAGTTCAGCTTAAGGATTCAGAAGTTCATTGAACTCACTCAGCAGAAAAAGAGACTGGACGCCGTGAGGCACGCACGGAAACACTTCAGTCAGGCCGAAGGGAGCCAGCTGGACGAGGCTGCCGGGTCATGGGCATGCTGGCCTTCCCACCAGACACGCACATCTCCCCCCACAAGGACCTGCTAGACCCAGCCAGGTGGAGGATGCTGATCCAGCAGTTCCGATAGGACAACTACCGGCTGCACCAGCTGGGGAACAACTCTGCTCACCCTCACCCTGCAGGCCGGCCTCGTGGCCATAAAGACTCCCCAGTACTATAAGGAGGACGGCAGCTCCAAGAGCCCCGACTACCCGTGTGCAGCCGCTCCCTGAACAAGCTGGCGCAGCCCCTGCACATGGCACACTGCCCCAACTCCTGCCTGGTCTGCAAGATCTTGGGCGACATGATGAACGAGAACAACCCACCCATCATGCTGCCCAACGGCTACGTCTGGCTGCGTCTACGGCTACAACTCTTTGCTCTCTATCTGTCAAGATGATATGGTTGTCTGCCTCAGAACCAAAGAGATCTTCCACTTCTTACAAACTGAGAAAGTGTACATCATGGAGGCCTGGCCTGCGCCCCTGCCTGCCGTGGTGTTTGTTTCTTGCGACCGATCCATGAGCAAGGACAGACACTTAGGAGCAGAGGAAGGAAGAGGAACAGCCTGTACTTGGGAACCACATTTGGATCTTAGGACTTGGTAACGGGAGTCGATTAGCTGATGCTTCTGGGAAGGACCCGTACCTTCCAGAGACTTGAGACCCACTGGACACCAGGGAGACTCCAAGACATTTCAGAAACAGTTTCCTCCCTCTTGCTAATGACCAGCCTTGGGAACAGGTGTGTCCTGCATATTTTTAAATTGCTATTATTTAGATAAAAATAGAATTTAAGAAATTTTAACACTCTAAAAAGTTTATTAGCCCAAAAATGCAATATAAAACCACAATGAGATATCACTTCACACCTGTCAGAATGGCTATCATCAATAAATCAACAAACAACAAGTGCTGGCAAGGATGTGAAGAAAAGGGAATCCTCATGTACTGTTAGTGGGAATGCAGACTGGTGCAGCCACTATGGAAAACAGTATAGAGTTTCCTCAAACAATTAAAAATGGAACTATCTTTTGACTAAGCGTTCCCACTTCTGGGAATATACCCAAGAAATGGATGGATAAAAAAGCTGTGCTAGCCCTAGCAGGTTTGGCTCAGTGGATAAAGCATCTGCCTAAAAACTGAAGGGTTGGTCCCGAGTTTGAATCTGTCAAGGGCACATGCCTGGGTTGCAGGCTCGATCCCCAGTATATGGGGCATTCAGGAGGCAGCCGATTAATGATCCTCTCTCATCATTGATGTTTCTATCTCTCTCTCCCTCTCCCTCTCCCTTCCTTTCTGAAATCAATAATATATATATATTATAAAAGCTCTGCTGCATTTACATAAAAAAACTGTACTACTTGGCTGTCAAAAAAGGAAGAAAATCTTACCTTTTGAGACAGCATGAAATTATTATGCTAAGTGAAATAAGCCAGTCTGAGAAAGACAAATACCATACAATCTCACTTATACGTGGAATCTAATGAACAAAATAATTTAACAAATAAAATAGAAACAGAAGCATGGATACACAGAGCAGATTAAGCTATCAGAGGGGAGAGGGGTTGGAGGACTGGGTGAAAAAAGATGAAGGGATTAAGCAAAACAATATATGTACAGGGGTTGGCAAAAGTAGGTTTAGAGTTATTCATATGAAAAATAATACAATAATTAATAAGCAATAATACAAGAATAAACTGTTTAGTGTCCTCACAACTGTAAACCTACTTTTGCCAACTTCTGTATATGACACATAGACATGGACAACAGGGTGGTAATAGACAGAGGAAAGGGGTTGGGGGAGGTGGAAGTGGCAAAGTGGGGATGGATGGAGTTGGAAAGAGACTTGACTATGGGTGGTGAGCACATGATGCAGTGTACAGATGATGTTTTACTGAATTGTACACTTGAAACCTATATGTTTTTATTAACCAATGTCACCCTGGTAAATTCAATAAAAAAAAATATTGGTTAGAGCAAAAAATAATTCAATCATGAGGAGAGGGAGCAAAGAGGGGGAGATGGGGGACACCAATATTGTCAACAATAAATTTAAAAATGATTCAATCCTTGTAGATATAAAATGTATTAACATAGAAGCTATATGCCTCTTAATTTCTCTTCTTAAAAAATTATAGTATATGGTCATTATAATAATCTATTTTTAATAACAAAAAATCACATTTTAAGAATTTTGACTAGAATTGCACTAAATCTTTAAATTCAGAAATAATTGACATTTAAGTCTTTTATGTATAATTAGCAAATTTCTTCAAGTAAGTTTCACATATTTCTTTTTAAGATCATTTTTAGTTTCTTATTAACTTCTATAAATGGAACTGTTTTTCTATTACTTGATAAACTTTGAGTAAAAAAGACAGATTTACA